TCCCATATTGTGGCATGGACACTCAAAGTCTGTTTGTACACCAGGGATAAATACTATTCTAGGCCCCATAGATTACCTAGGCCTCTGAACTGATACCCACATTCAGGGGGTCTGGGTCAGTCCCATGCTTTCCACACAGTCATCAATGTGGAGTCCAAGAGTTCCCCCTTGTTCAGGTCAATTGTTTCTGTGGGTTAAACTAGCCCACTCTTAACTCCTTTTCCCATCAGTTCTCTCTTTCTGACACTGGGTTCCAGGAGTTCAGTTCAGTGTTTGTCTGTGGGTATCAGCCTCTGCTTTCATCAGTCACTGGATGAAGGTTCTGTTTCCTAGACTCTCTGGCAGTGGGAGTGTATGCTGGCAATCTCCTGAGTCATGTCTAAAATCCATAAATGAGTGAGTACATACCATGATTCTCTTTTTGTGACTGGGTTACCTCATTCAGGATGGTTTCTTCTAGTGCCATCCATTTGCCTGCAAGTTTGAAGATTCCATTTTTCCCCCTGCTGAATAGTACTCCATTGTGTAAAAATACCACATTGTCTCTATCCACTCATCAGTTTAGGGGCATCTAGGTTGCTTCCAGGTTCTGGGTATTACAAATAATGCTGCTAGGAACATAGTGGAACAATGTCCTTGTTGCATGAATATGCATCTTTTGGGTATATGCCTAAGAGTGGAATTGCTGGATCTTGTGGTAGACTGATTCCCATTTTCCTGAGGAATCTCCATACATATTTCCAAAGTGGCTGTACAAGTCAGCACTCCCAACAGCAGTGGAGGAGTGTTCCCCTTTCTCCACATCCTCTCCAGCACAAGCTGTCATTGATGTTTTTGATTTTAGCCATTCTGACAGGAGTAGGATGGTATCTCAGAGTTGTTTTGATTTGGATTTCCCGGATGGCTAGGGATGTTGAGCTCTTTCTCAAGTATCTCTTAGCCATTTTAGTCTCCTCTATTGAGAATTCTCTAGTTAGTTCTGTACCCCATTTTTTGATTGGATCCTTAGGTGTTTTGGAGACTTGCTTCTTGAGTTCTTTGTAAATCAGTAAATCTCTGTAAATCTTTGGAGATCAGTCCTCTGTCAGATGTGGGGGTTACTGATTATCTTTTCCCAATCTGTGGGTTTCCTTTTGTCTTGCTGACTGTGTCCTTTACCTTACAATAGCTTCTCAGTTTCATGAGGTCCCATTTATTAATTGTAGATCTTAGTGTCCATGCTACTGTTGTTATGTTCAGGAAGCAGTCTCCTGTACTAATTCATTCAAGGGTGCCTCCCACTTTCTCTTCTAATAGGTTCAGTGTGGCTGGATTTATGTTGAGGTATTTGATCTATTTGGACCATTTTGTGCATGGTGATTAGGCATGGATGTATTGGCATTCTTCTACATGCCAGCATCCAGTTATGCCACTACCATTTGTTGAAGATGCTTTCTTTTTTCCATTGTGTATTGTTAGCATTTTTGTTGAAAATCAGATGTTCATACATGTATGGGTTAATATCAGGGTGTTCAATTCGATTCCATTGGTCTACCTGTCTATTTTTGTGCCAATACCAAGCAGTTTTCAGGTTTGTAGCTCCATAATAGAGCTTGAAGTCAGGGATGGCAATGCCTCCAGATGTTGATTTGTTGAATAAGGTTGTTTTTGCTATCCTGGGTCTTTTGTTTTTCCATACAAAGTTGATTATTGTTCTTTCAAGGTCTTTGTAGAATTTTGCTTGGATTTTAATGGGGATTGCTTAAATCTGTATATTGCTTTTGGTAAGATTGCCATTTTTAATATGGTGATCCTACCTGTCCAAAAGCATGAGAGATCTTTCCACGTTCTGATGCTTCTTTAATTTTTTTCTTTAAAGACTCAAAGTTCTTGCTATACAGGTCTTTCACTTGTTTGGTTAGCATTACCCCAAGGTATTTTATGCTGTTTGTGGCTATTGAAAAGGGCAATGTTTCTCTGATTTCTTTCTCAGCCCTTTTATCGTTTGTAAATTGTAGAGCTACTGATTTTCTTGAGTTGATTTTGTATCCTGCTGCTTTGCTGAAAGCATGAGCTGCAGGAGTTCCCCGGTAGGATTTTTTGGGTCACTTATGTAAACTATCATATCATCTGCAAATAGTGAAAGTTTGACCTCTTCCTTTACAATTTGTATCCCCTTGATCTCCCTTTGATGTCATATTGCTCTAGCTAGAACTTCAAGTACAATATTGAAGAAGTATGGAGAGAGTGAACAACCTCATTGTGTTCCTGATTTTAGAGGAATTGCGTTGAGTTTCTGTCCATTTAGTTTGATATTGGCTGTTGGTTTGCTGTATATGAATCAATATTAGTACATCTACTAAGTGTTCCTGGAATGAGGTTTTGGGTAGTCAGCTATTAACATAGCATCTGAGTAAGGTTTAATATATATATATATATATATATATGTATATGTATATATATATATATTGATCTGCATTTATTTTTAACAAGTGTACATTTGTATATATACTAAATTTTGCTTATATTTTTAAGGGGAATGTCCATAGTAGCACAGTACCCAAGGAGGCCAGAACAGAGGAGGGCATCAGATTCCCTGGGCCTGGAGGCCCAGCTGCCTGCTGGAACCTGGAGCAGAGCCCTCTGCCAGATAAATATGAGCTATTTTCTGCTGATCTGTCTGTCTCCCAGCTCTTGGGTTAGTGTTTGAAAGCAATATTTTTACATGTGATTTTGCTGATGTATATTTATTATCAATTATCATATTAGTTCACTATAATTATGTGAAGGTTTGTTTTACATACCTCAATTTTAATCTGCATTATCACTTCTGGTCCTACTTGCTTTTTCATTCAACATTTCTTTTCTCAATGAACGGACTTGAGGAGCCACAGGGATGCCTTTCAGGAGCCTAGAAACTCAGATGACCTTCTCACTCTCCCTGCCCACCGGTGTCTCCATTCCTGCCACTTTTGTCTCTGTGAAGCTTGGTACCTTTTTACTACAGTAGACATTCCCCTCAAAGTTGTTCCCCTCTCCAAAAATACAAATTAAACCATGTTCTCATTTAAGTCATTTAATAATCCCATTGTCTGTAAGACAACCACAACAAAATTATCCTAGAAAAGCTACCTTCAGTCTGTCTCTGCACCTGCTCTCCTGTATGCAGAGCTTCATACATCAGCGTACTTTCATCACCATTAGAATAAAATGTCAAGGACAGCAGTAGGCACGACAGGAACACAGGGGCAAACACACAAGTTTACAACAAGTGTAGGCTGAAAGGCATGAACTATTATGAATGAAAACTAACTGGAGATAATCCATTTCATCAGCTATTTTACTTTTAATCTCATATTTTCCCTCAGAAGTCTACAGTCAATCTGGGACTATGTCTCTCTTTTCATTTGGTTGTTTTAGAAGAGAACCAACTTTGGGTATCCTGGTAAAGAAGATGACAATTTTGGCTATTGAGATGCAGGAATTGACACCATGTAATTTTGCCACATTATCATCTTTTCTTCTTAGACCAGTTATTTTCCCACTTGGTGGGATAGTATTCCAGTAAGGTGACTTCTGGAACAGAGCGGTCCTGTCACTGTTTGGTTTAGGTTTGGTGTTAGTGGTAGCATTAGGGTCAGGGTTAAGGGAAAGAATAAGGTTACATTAGTTTTAGGGTTAGGCTAGAGTTAGGGTTGAGGTTATGATATTTCCAAAACTTGTCATTGTCTCCTGCATAGTGAACACTAGAGACAGTTCAGAAAATTGAATTTATCTCCAGTAACTTTTTTGTAGAACCTGAAATTCTGCTGCTCCTCTCTGCTAATGTGGCTGTGAGAGCTCAGAAGTTTGGTGGATGGAAATTGGGACTGAGAATGAGATATGTTAATCTCACTTGCACATGTCTATATTTGGTTGTGTGTGTGTGCGTGTACACTGTGTGTTTTTACTTCATCAATATTGTATTTCAGCATCATAGGACTGATGCAAAGTGTGCTCCCTAGGGTCAGACCTCTTAGTTTGGGAAGCCAATTGCACTACTGATCAGGAATCTCTCGGCATATCATTTGACTTGTTTTGATGTCAATTTTCTTAAGCTGTCACTTGAAAATAATGGTTACTGCATTAGCTGTTTCATGTTACACAAAGTAAGTCAGACAAAGTGTTTAGAGTAATGTTCTACCCATAGCATGTGCTCAGTAAATGTGTCTGTTGTTATCCTTCAGGAAGCAGCCCTGGCTTCTCAATTCACTTATGTAGCACTGTCTAATAAGGTTCTTCCAAAGCTTCTTCCTAGCCAATACCCCTCTGTTCCCCTTCTCTACCTTTTGTCCCTGAAGACCCCTGAAGCCTTAAAGTTATCTCTATCTTCTTAGCAATCAATATCCATTATGCATAGCTGGGGATTGCAGATATTCTGGTGAAAGACATTAATGGAGACTGCCAACCACAGCACAGCCATTTCCTTACAGAGAGGCACTTGAATCTTCTGATAGCCTGACCTTCAGTTAGGAAGTGATCTGGACACTTCAAATAATCCCAAGAATTCAATCAATATGTTTCACTCTTTGGTTGTGATTAGCAGAGGGACATCAGTTGTCATCAATAGTCTACCATAAAGTCAGATACATCACCAACTGTCCAGCCTTTCCTCATATTGGTCATTCATTGCATACCCTTGAGATGAGAGTTGAAGGACTCTTCAGGTTTCCATGGCAACAGAAAGGCTATGCTAACTTGCCTACCTTCATAAAAGCAAACTAGTGGAGAGTTCATACTAAAAACAAATAAACAAAGTTCATTTCCCTTTAGATTTTAGAAGCGTGTATTATTGGAGTGCTGTGTTAGTGCCAAGAACTTCTGAGCTGAAAGTAAACTCACCTGCTTTTCTGGTTGGAAATACATCATCCATTTCCCTGTTTGATTTAAATGTGTGTCTTCCCTTTGGCCCATTACCTTGCCAGAGAAGAAAATGAGAGCGGGAAGATTTCACACCAGTTTCCATTTCTGAGTATTCAGAGTGAAGTTAGCAAATTTCTTAGGAAGTTTATTTGAAGTCATCGTTTTGAAAGTCTGGGGATATCAGGGGAGACACATTCACGTGAAATTTCGCTAGCTATGTCGCCACCTTGTGTTTTTTCTGTGAACTTCATTGCCGGAAAGAGTTTCTCTATGGGAATGCTGAGAAAGTAGCTCTCCAATTTCAGCACATCTAAAGTGAGTTTTGAATCCTGTAGCCACTGCCAATATAGATAGCTTGAGAAAATGGGAGAGAATCCTGTTACAACAGGTATTCTTAATACGTGTTTGGGATCCTAGTGGGGAGATACAAAAAGTGGGTCATAAAGACTATATTCATGGATCATTTGCATAGTTCATTTTGTAGCACCATAGTTTCATCCCTGACAAAACTGACATAAAAATGTACTTAATATTCCATCAGACTTAAAGCCCTCTTATCTGGACAGAAAGGAGAAATATAGTGGCACCTTGCTTTGCCAGTGAAGTTGCAGTAGTGGTGACACCCTAAGGCGTGGATTCAGGTGTCAGATGTGACCCTTATAAGGAAGAGGAGGGGCTGGCTCACTCTTTTGGATTGTGGTGAGAGCATTGGAAGGGCAGAGACTGCATTCTCTACAGCAGGAAGACTCCCACGGCTAAGCACTGATCTGAACTCAAGAAATCCAGTGATAGAGAGGGAGGACTGATGACCAAAGGGATTAAGACTGGGCTGGTTTAACCCCCAGAAACAGCTGACCTGACAAAGGTTAGCTCTTGAATCCCAGGCATCAGCCTGGGAATCCATCATGGGACTGATCAAGACCCCCTGAATGTGGGTGTCATTGAGGAGGACTAGGTAATCTATTGAGCCTTGGGCAGTAGATCAGTACTCATCCGGGGTATACAAATGGACTTTGGACTCCCGACAATGTGAGATGCACTCTCACCCTGAACTCTTGGGGAAGGGCATAGGTCCTGCCCTGGATGAAATGACAGACTGTGGACACCCCCATGGAGGGCCTCACCCTTCCTGGGGAAATGAGGGGATATTGGGGGGGGTTGGCGGGTGCATGGGAGGAGGGGAGGGAAATGGAGAAGGACCTGGAACTGACTTGTGAAGCAACCTTGTTTCTAATTTAAATTTAAATAAAAAACCCAACCGTCATAAAAAGAAAAATTAAAATTTCATATTAAGTTTATATGTATGTATAAAATATATTTCTAAATTACCAATATAGTTAATAAATTATTTGCCTACAGCATTGGCAGAGTCTATGTTTAATAATATCTGGGTTGGCTCTTTGCATTGATTTTATTGATAATATATAAAATATATAGAAGAATAGGTATACTTCCACACTGGGTCAAGAGCGAAGACTAAGGTAAGAAAAAATGGTTGGTAATACAGTACGTAAAGAGGCAATGAAATCTTACAGCATTTTCATCACACTGGGAGGGGCAGCTGGTTGAATTGTAGGCTTTTTCCTTTTGTACACATTCACCATTGCTGCAAACCTAGGAAGGAAGTAACCAAGTGGCATGAATTAGAGTGATGCAGCTTACAAAGTGTGTGATTCTACATAGTGACAATGAAGTTATGCATTCCTTCCTATGCGTCTTAATCACATGTTGGATGCAGCACTAGGGCAGATTACTTTCATATCTGTGACAGCATGTCACTCTCCCTGCAAGGATCACAAGCTCAACTAAGGTATAATACTGAGAAAATATCTTGTTTTGGTTTTGCCATCTTTTGGTGTTTAGTCAAAAATAAACACAAAGACAGATTTGCAATTCCCCTGTTCCAATAACTCTTTTCCTCTCCCTCTCCCTCCCTCTCCCCTCCCTCTCTCTCTCCCTTTCCCTCTCTCTCTCTCCATCTGATCTCCTTCCTGTTCTTTTATTCTCCAGTCTTCCACTGTTCCTCTCTCCCCTCCTCTTCTCATTTATTTTTCTCTTAGTACTGTACTGTAAACAAGCAGATGGGAGCAAAGGAGCCCTGTGTTGTGTTTATGTAGGAATTTCTCTCTAAAAAATACTTTTCTGTACTCTAATTTTTTTTGAAGAATTATTCATACTAATGAAGATAGTAATGAAACCTAAGTACACGCCAATACATGGATGGACAAAAAAAGCAGAGGCAAACACACAATTAATCACTGAACTGAACCCAAGGAACCCAGTGACAGAGAGAGAGGAGTGATGAGCAAATCGGCAAAGAATGGGCTGGCAAAACCAGCAGAGACAGCTGATCTGAACAGGGGAGAGCTCTTGGATTCCAGACTGACAGTGAGGAGGCCAGTATGGGACTGATCTGGACCCCCCAAATATGAGTGTCAGTGAGAAGGCCTGGGCAACCTATGGGGCCCTGAGCTGTGGATCAGTGTCTATCCCTGATATACAAACAGTCTTCGTGTGCCCATAGCACAAAGAGGGATGCCCTCTCAGCCTGGACTCTTAGGGGAGTGCCTGGACCCTACCCAGAGTAAAATGACAGACTCTGATATCCCCTATGTGGAAGGATTTGGCAATAGGGTGGGAGGGAGGGGGGAAGGGGAGTGCGGGAGGAGGGGAGGGAGAGGGAACTGGGATTGACATGTAAAACAAGCTATTTAAAATAAAAAAATTGAAAAAAAGTGTGTCAAACATATAATGGAGTATAGTTTAGCTGCAAAATGGATAAAAGCATGCATTTGTGGCATCTTGGATAAGTGTGGGGGTCAGATTTTGTTAGATAATGCAGACACAGGTTGGGGAATTCTCAGTCACACATGAAAGCTAAAAATACTGATCTTAAGGAAGCAGAGAGCTGTACTGTGGCTTCCAGAGGCTTGTGGGGTGTTCTGGAGAAGAAAAAGGGGGGTCTCCAGTTATTAGGTTTAAATTTTTCATTAACCAGGAAGAGTAATTTCTAGTGGTCCATATAGCAGAATGATTGTAATTAATAATAGCCTACTGTATATTTTAACATAGAAGAGATGATTTGGGATGTTCCCAACATAAAGAAATGGTCAGTGGTATCTATCCTAATTACTCAGATGTGGTTACTACTCATCCTACATATATACTATACTGTACCTAACAAATATGCATAATAATTAACTATGGGTCATAATAATTGTTAAAATCCAGAACATAGAGTAAAAAACTTTGTTTTCTTTCTATTAAAAAATAATTTATGGCTGGGCGTTGGTGGCGCACGCCTTTAATCCCAGCACTCGGGAGGCAGAGGCAGGCGGATCTCTGTGAGTTCGAGGCCAGCCTGGTCTACAGAGCAAGTTCCAGGACAGCCTCCAAAGCCACAAACCTTGTCTCGAAAAAAACCAAAAAAATAATTTATAACAAGTCAAGCTGAAATGTGAGTAGCCACAATGCTCTGTGGGTAGTCAGCTCTCTTCCTCTAGATCAAGTCCACACTGGTTTCCACATCACCAGGAAAGCATTTCAGCGACCATGTTCTACATATGACATTCTCAAGTACACTGGTCTATAGGCCATGGGAATCCAGCCTAATTACATTGTTTTGCTTTTAGTTTGTCTCCCATCTGGTAAATTAAATGAGCTCTGCAAAATTAGAAAACCAACATAGCTGTTGTGAATTAAAGGGGAGCTCATTAGGCTGCCTGGACATGATCTCTCAGTCATTCCACTCTTTCAGATCAAGTGCTTCCTCCAGAGGCCACAGTTGAGGTCAGATTTCATTATTAAGAATGGAGCATTTTAGAGTCCAAAGATGCCTTCAATCTCTACACTTAATGGATTTTGAGTTAATTTTAGACTAACACATGACCAGGGCCTCTATTGATTCCTAGGAGTGATGGTTTGTGTTTCTTGAGAAGTACATATTTCTAATTACATTTGGGTTTCCTGTGACTCCAGTGAAATTTATAACTGCGTGAGAGAATTCTTGGCAGGGGAGAAAGACAAGATTAAAATAATAATAATAATCATTTACCTTTAATGGAATCAATATGAAAGACCTTGGCTCTGTAGAAAATTGACCTGAAATGGAGTCTCACCTGTATGAAAATGCAAAGTGAAACAAGTTTGTTCATTTGCAAATTGGACCCACATCTTATCTAGTACATGGATGATCTAGATGCAGTATGAGCACCATAGTGTGCACTTTCTAGGAAAGTGGATAGATATTATGGGTCAGCTGTCTGTATCAGATACAGTAAGCACCCAATGAACAAAACATGGTGTCTGCAAGCATTGGTAATAGACATTGCTTTTCTTTTTGTTCATTCTTGGATTTTATTTTTTAAAAAATCTTCTAAAACATTACCATCTCTCTGACTAAGAAGAGAGTAACCCAGACCTACTTGGCTAGAGTCTTTCCATGCATATGTTGCGTATTGTACTTTGCTACACCACATAATCTCACACAAACAATCACATACATTAACAAAGAACTGTATGCCAATGTCCAGGTAGAGTGGTGACTAGATGCGTCATTACAAAGATCAATATTTTAATAGAGAAATTTTCACTGTTTAAAACTTCTATGCAAAAGTTTTGAGGCAACCATGGGTGATAACTGCTTTGCACCTGTGCACCAAGCAGAAACCATGGTGACCAGCTTCTGAGGACAATAGTCAGGTTGTCTTTTTTTTAGAAATGGTGACTATCTCAGTCAAAGGCCTTGTGCTCTGCTACCCAACACACCCAACCCAGGAGGTTTGGATCCTTGTAGTGTCCCTTTCTGAGAAGACCCATAAAAACCACAAAATTGGAAACCATAATATACAAGGAAAAGACCAGTAAAAAAGAAATTCTCAAACAAATCCATATGAGTCAAGACTCTCCAAAACTACAATTTACTTTGTTTTCTGTTGGCCATTTGCTGCTGGGCATAGGACCTATCCTTAAGTGTGGTTAATGTACCCAGTGAGACTCCTTTGGAGAAAATTCAGTTTTCTTTGTAAGTAGGTGTCAATTAGAGATTGCTCAACAATATAGAGTGAGTGACTTACCTTGTAGTTAGGCCTCAGTCCTGTGCACCTTTTGACTCCTTTGTGGCAATGAGAAAATTGTCTGTTAGTGCCAGGGGTCTCTGATAGATGTTGACTGATTAAATGATACAATTATGTGGTTGGAAAGATGACTCAGGGGTTGGAGAGATTGCTCACTGGCTCACAGCACATATTGGTCTTACACAAGACCCACTTTCAGTAGCATCCACGTTGGGAAGTACACAACCACCTTCAACTCCAACTCCACGGAATCTGATTCCTTCTTCTGGCCTCAGTGGGCACCTGTACACATACCCACACATCTGCACACACAAATACACATAATCTTAAAACAAATCAATATTTTTAAAATGATGGAAAATAGCTAAAGCTTGAAATGCAGTGGCTGCCACAGAAAAGAACTCAGTAACTTATGCCAACACCATTTAATGGACTCAATCTCTAAAAGTCATTCACTATTCAATCATTGAGGGGAATTAAACTGAGTGCAGAAAGAAAGAGTGAAGAGTTAGTTTAAAGAGGGATATTTAGAAGTCATAAGGATGATGCTAATATTTTAAGTTTATTTCCACAAGTATAGTAGAGAACTACTCCATACAAGGCAGTGTGTTAACTCATGGTTATTTTTAAAGAACTGAACATGATCCTCTCCTTGACTTTGTTGAGAAGTTGCAGAGATAATAAACCAGATTTATGTTATTATGTGGTTATATTACAAGGGGCACATCAGGCCCTGGAGAAATGGCTCAGTTATTAAGAGAACTTATTACTATTACAGAGGATTGGGGGTTAATTGCCAGCATCTACATGAAGACTTACAACCATCTGGAGTTGGTTGTTTTTACTCTTTACTCTTTGGTGGGGGCGGGCACCACCAAGCTCCCAGATAAATCACACAGAAGGTTATTCTATTTTATGAATTCCCAGCCTTAGCTTGGCTTGTGTATAGCCAGATTTTCTCAACTTAAATTATTCTATCTTTTACCACTGGGCTTTTGCCTTTCTCCGTTTTTATATATCTTTCTTTACTTCTTTCTCAGTAGCTTGCTGTGTAGCTGGGTGGCTGGCAACTGAAGTCTTCCTCTCCTCGTTTTTCTTTTGCTCCTTGATCTTTCTTCGCTTATTTCTCTTCCTATTTGTTCTCTCTGCCTGCTAACCCCACCTAGCCTTTCTCCTGCCTTGCGATTGGACATTTAGCTCTTTATTATGCTAATCAGCTGTTTTAGAAAGGCAAAGTAACAGCTTCACAGAGTTAAACAAATGCAACAAGAAGGAATACAGCACATCTTTGTATCATTAAGCAAATGTTCCACAGCATAAACACATGTAGTACATCTTAAAATAATATTCCACAACAACTATCTTTAGCTCTAGTTCCTGGGGATCCAACACCATCTCGTAGCCTCTGCAGGAACTGCACACATGGTCATAGATATACATACAGGCAAGCAAAGCACCCATAGCATAAAATAAAAATAGTGTTGTTTTAAACAAGAGGGACATATTAGAAGGTAGTTAGGAACAGGAAGTATAGACAACCAACTACGTTGGTTTCAGAAATGATTTGTCAAAAGGCACATAACCTGAGTGTTTCATTGAAATAGTATTTGTTAGTTGTGTTTCCCGAGCTCAACTCAGAAGTAATAAGGAGTCAAGCTACGATTCTGCTCTCACAGTTAGCATTTTTATTTCTTTTCCGAATCCTCATTAAACTTTTCCAGCTCCCTTTATGTGATAAACCTTTATTTTTTGCCTCATCTCCTCTTTAGCATCCCTGCAATAAAATTCAGTAAATGCAGCCAAAACCAATACCAGCAATATCTGAAGGATCAGAAACCAGCATGCATTCTCAACAATCCACTCCCTGCTGGTTTTAATGAGTATCCGTTTTGTGGGAACAAGAAGGTAGATGAAGGAGAAGAGTGCGACTGTGGAACAGTTCAGGTATTTGCAAATGAAGTCATCTTTAACAAGGATGGTGCTCATCTGGAATCTCAGCAGATGATCTTGGTCTCAGTGAACTCTTAGGAAGCTGTTTTTATTGTCCATTTGGAGCCTGGCTGTTGAGGCAGTCCCATTTCAAGCCTTTTTAGGACATCTCAAGTCCCATGTGATGATCTTGCTGGAGATCAGCAGGATTCCATTTGCCTAGCTTATATGTTAACCTCCTTGTCATGTGAGAAGTACCCTTATGTCGGATCCCTCAGGCACACACAGTAGGTAGGGGACATTCTATAAAGCATTGTCTAGTCAGTCCAGCTTTACTTAGAACCTTGGGAAGCTTGTCCATATCATAGCTGGCATTTGTAATTATAGAAAAAACCCTTTTAATAGAGGGATGGATGAAAGACCTTCAAATTTTTCATATGCTTATTGAAGTTTAGAGCCTTGAAGGCAAAATTTCAAGTAATTCTTAGTCTTCTTTTAGAAGCTATTCCTTTTAGAAACTCATCAAATAAATATGTGTCCTCCACTATTTTTCCTTCAGATGAACAAGGATGTGTAACCCTCAGGGGACGTTTTAATATACGTAGTGAGTAGTTCTCCAGTGTAGCTTCAGTTTACATTCCTACCAACATGCTGAGGCTGCACTCTGAAAACGTTTTCTGTGTTAGCTCTAGATACTGCACAGTTCAAAACAGCAATGAAGAGAAACTATAACAAGGGTGGGGCTGACCTACCCAGAGAATTTGAATACTGGCCTTCAATGTCTTGGATGAAAAGAGAAAATCTTCTGGTTTGGACATGGACCCATTTGCCCCATGCATGTTTTGGAATTTTCCACAGCTCCATAGCTCCGTTCTAATGTATGCAGGCCTTAACTGATCAGATGTAGACAGACTGCCTCTGAAGTTTTAATTTTGTTCAAGAAATCAGGACATCTAAGTGTGACTGCTTTATTGTTATGATATAATAATGCAGAGACAGAGAGAGAGAGAGAGAGAGAGAGAGAGAGAGAGAGAGAGAGAGAGAGAGAGAGAGAGAGAGAGAGAGAGATTTTAGGTTGCATCTCAAGCCAGAGATCTCAAGATCAGATCTTTAGACATTGGATTATCTCACATTAAACTTTAGAGCCAGGGAGCATCAGGGGGTGGGAGTCAGACAACAGGGACTGGAAGGTCACTGTATTTGCACTCTTCCCACCAATGAGAGTTCATAAATTTGGACGTACTGAAAGTATGAGAGAAGGCAACAAAGTAGAAACCCCCAATACAAGCTGCATCAGTAACCTGATTCACATACCAAAGCCAGGAATACTGCATGTCTTTGGAGCGCTTGAAGGAACACAAATAATTAGATTTTCAGGTAGTAGCCAACACAGGAACCCATTTGTGATATTTATCTACATTTTCATCTTTCCAGGAATGCACCAATCCTTGCTGTGATGCACACAAATGTGTCCTGAAGCCAGGGTTCACTTGTGTGGAAGGAGAGTGCTGCGAATCATGTCAGATGAGACCCTTGACTCCCAAGGATTTTTGTGGCCTTAGTTTATGTGTGTGAAATAACAAAGAACTGTCTGGCTATGGCTGGCCCTGCATTGCTATTTCCAGAATGGAGTGTCCCTTGTTAACAGCCAGGAGTATTTAAGCTGAAATGTTCTGGTGTCTGAACAGATGGTGCTCTGGTCTGGGTAATAGAGAAGATGGTAAGCATCACATTGTGTCTTTAGGAGTGACATCCCATGACCAACATTATTCTTACCCATGTGTAGATCAGTACCAATCTGTTTAACATCAAGTGGCAGGAAAATTGATATCCCAACAACAGTATCTAAAGAAGAACAGAGTAGACATAGATATTAGGTACTGGATGCCTAGAGATATGAGTTAGAAAACAAATGGCCAGAAATTCAGACAGCTCCAAGGAATTTATTTACACTTATTTGACTCCAGTAAACTGCAAACTCACAAATGAAAGAATCGGGTTTTGTTTTGTATCTTCAACTCTTCCTAGGAACCCCACACATTTAAGAGAATACCTTTGTGCATTCTCCTGAACAATGAGAGGCAGGTTGTTGTTACAATTTATATGGTGAGATCAGTATCTGTTAGTGACAGAGATTCTGGGTAATGTACTGATGGGTAGGGATTCATTGGAGTGATGTAGCAGAGCAAGGAATAAATAAAATATAGATAAATGAAAATATCTGCCCATTTTACCACTTTTGTCCGCGTCAACTCTACCTAAGGATTTTGTAATACCAAATTTTAAAACCACTATCTTGGGTTGGAGAATTGGCTCAGCAGTTAAAAGCACCTGCTGCTCTTGCAGAGGACCCACGTTAGGTTCCCAGCACCCACACAACAGATTAACTCTAGCTCTAGGGATCTAGTGCTCTCTTCTGGCCTCTGTAGGCACCAGACATGAATGCATGCAGGCCAGCCACTCACACACATAAAATCAATAAAGCTTTTAAAAAGACCACACTATTTCCCATTCTTAAAGTCACATAAAAACCATAGTATCTAGAAATGCTAATAATCCTTAGCATTGAAAAGAAGGAAGCTGTGAGCCTGCCTCTCACAGAAAAATTTAGTATGTCAGATTTCTGCCTATACACTCAGTTTCACCAACTCATGCATCAAAGATTCTAATATCTGCTTCTCTTCAACAGATTAAGAAAGAAGGGGCCATATGCAGACTAGCAAAAAAATGAATGTGACTTTCCTGAAGTGTGCACTGGCCACTCCCCTGAGTGTCCTAAGGACCAGTTGCAGATCAATGTTTGTTTTTTGTTGGTGTTGTTGTTGTTGCTGCTGCTGTAGGTGTCTCTGTCATGGCCATTGTGCTTGTCATGGTCATCATTGGAGTTGGACTTGTCATAATATTAGTTCGTTACCAGAAATGCATCAAGATGAAGCAAGTTCAAAAGTATGTCTGCATATTCTGTGTCACAGGAGGCCATCACCAAATATATACTAATTTTGTAGCCACAGAGCATATCAGTGTGGGGTGGGCTGAGTCTAGTCCTGAAGACCAGATAAGAATACCCAATCAAAATTTTACATGCCTGTTCTTATCCATATGCTTATCGCATGATTCTCAAACCTCTTTACATGTTGAAAATCTGTTCAGCTCGTAGATAAAATACAAATGTTGGTTTCTCTCTGAGCTATTGCAATTAAATTATTACCAGGTACAAGCAACATAAAAACATCATGTGTGGTTTAACTATAATCACTTGTCCATTCCAAGAGCGGGTGTAAATGTTCCATTGTCCCTCTTTGCAGCTCTCCCAGAGAAATGCATGGAGTGGAGAATAAAGCATACTTCCCTGATGAGCAGCATATAAGGAGTGAACCAATCCTGACAGATATCCATCCCCTGCATGTGAGATACTTTCACTTGTGACAGTTAATGAACTGTTGCATTATGCTCATGTATTTTTTATTATTGAGGTGTTCTATTTATTATTATTACTCTATATACATTTGTATATGCTGTGTATATACGTGTCTGCCTGTCTACTATGAGTGTGTGTGTTTGTTTGTGTGTCTGCCTCTCTGCCTGTCCACCTGCCTGCTTCTCTGCCTGTCTATGTATAGAGAGATCATAAAACAACTTCATGGGGCCAGTTCTTTCCTTCCACCTTTTGGTAGTTTTGGGGGTGTTGAACTTGAGTCTTTAGACTTGTGTAAGCCTAAGTACATTTGCAAACTGAGCTATCTCACTGGCCCTGCCTCTCTGGCAAGTATGTTTCCAATGTGGAATTCACTGTAAGTGAAGTGAGAGATGCTTAGAAGCCATTTAATGAAAAAAGCTATACAAGTGAAGTTTTTGCTGTGTAAGTAAGTGGGGACAGGGAGGAAGGTAGAAAGGTAGAATCAGGCATTGTACAATAACCAAGATTATTCCAAAGCAGGAAGTACTTACTAAATAAAATATTACCTCATTTACTAATGGAAAATTTACAATTTTAAATCATATTCTAGGGTATAAAACAAATTGCATTAAATTCATGGGAATTTAAATCATATATTAATTATGTTCTCAAAATAATATTGTATTAGAAATAAAAAACAGAAAGGAACTATAAAAATTCTCAATTGGAACCTCAGAATTAAACTCCAAGGAACTTCCATATTAAATTAAAAACAGCCCAGGCTAGGCTCAAATTCAAGGTTGTTAGCATTCTGCAGCTTCCTGAGTGCTAGAATTATGGCCATGTGCCGCCATTACATCTTGCCAGGAATTCTGTGTTTTAATAAAAGTAACTGATAACATTCTTGACAAGATTGCCCTAACAAAATGATAAAATCCCCATTAATTTTTTTGCTATCAGTCAACCGTTTCTAGATACACTAACAAAAATAGAATGGTAAATCCTTTTAAAGAGTTGTTCTATTTTGCGAGTGTGTTTTGCCTGCTGGTGTGTATATGACCATATGTGTGCTGGTGCCTCATAGGTCCAGAAGAAGGCACTGAAAAAGTGGAGTTACATGCAGTTGTGGGTGACCATGTGGGTACTGGAACCAAACCCAGGCCCTCTGGAAGAGCAGCAATTGCTTCATCTTATGATGCCTGTATTTTAAAATTCAGAACATTGAGGGTTTTAGTGCAAGTCTAATGGTATGGTTCTAGATATTTTGATGAATTTGCCCAGATGTTTTGCTTTCAAAAATTCTGGATTTTGTCTAATATTTACAGATTATCTGCTCTCCATCCTTGTGATGCTAACAGGCCACTGGGAAAAAAACAAACAAAGAAAAAATACTTCTGAATTCCACTGGAATATTTAGGCCTGAATAATTCATTTTACTTCTACTATATAATAGTTTATCATCTTTATCAATTTGTGCCTTTCACTATGTCATTGTTAATGCTGAGATGGTTAAATAAAAATCTTAATTGTCTGTTTTTATGCACAGAAAGTATTGTGTGATAATTTTCTAAATGTACATGAAGAATTTTCTGGCATGAAAACATATGATGCTAGGTATCTATCTTATATAGTTGCCCCAGGTTTAAATGAAAAAGTTGATATACTTTGTAAAGTGTCTGGTGTATATTTAGCATTCGAAACAATTCTTTAAAAATATTTTTGTCAATGAAACAAAACAACTATCTCTTGCCTGTATTTCTGAACTTCTGCCTTTTCTCTTTCTCTGTCTTTCTGTTGTGATTGGCTCATTCATTTTAGAGCATATGTAACCATGACTACCCCCTAAGGGGTGAGAATAAAAGCAGAGTAATAGACCAGTGAGAAGGCTTAGCAGGAGAGGTGCGTGCCTTGCAAACCCAGATACCTGAGTTCCATCTCAGGGACCCATGGTGGAGGGAGAGAGCCAACTCCCTAAAGCCATCCTCTCAACTGCAAAGCTGTACTGTGGTGTGTACACACTGGAGCTGTCTCCTCTGCCCCCCACCCCTGCGCTCTCTCTCTCTCTCTCTCTCTCTCTCTCTCTCTCTCTCTCTCTCTCTCTCTCTCTCTCTCTCACACACACACACACACACACACAAAGTAAATAATTTTAAATTAGTAAAGCAGTTGATGTCCTATGAGGCATGATTAACATGATGCTGAAACAGAAAAGAGAGAATCTACTGCAATAAAGGAATTGAAAATGGGAAATTCATGGAAGGACAAAGATCTGTGTATGGAAACCATGTGTGAAGAAAATCATTTCTTCAGTTTTTGGGTCTTGGGCTCTGTTTAAACATGGGGTTTCTTGACACGCCCTAAGTAGTTCAACACATTTTTAGAAATGTCCCAGTTAAATATCTAAGAACTCTGGTTATATAGTTTCTCTTTTCTCATAGTGGTTTCTTGAGTATTTTTTTTTTGCTTTTTGGTTGTGTGAGCCCCACCTTTCTGAATTTGAAATTACAATTCTACTCAGGTGATTGCTTCTGTTACTCTGAGATCATTTGTTCCAGTCACTCTTCTTTTCTATTAGCCTTTGTCTTATTTTGCCTTGCTTTGCCTCCTTCAGCCTGACTCCCCTCCTCTCTCTGCCCTGTCCTCCTCCCTCCTTCACCCTCCCCTGTCCTCCCTTCTTCTATCCCTTTTACTCATTCTCCTCCTCCTGGTCTTTCCTCCTCCTTTTCTCATTGCTGAGGATTGAATCCAAGGCCTTAGACAATGATAGGCACGCATTCTACTTCACCCCCAACTCAGTCCTTCCTTTTGATGGTGGTTTTCCTCAGATGACTGGTGTGTGATTGTCTAGTTATTGTTGTGAATAAAGACTCTATTGATGGATGTAACTAACGTAGGGAGAGTTTTCTCCTGCCTGCAAGCGCACAGAAGCAATAGATAGATGTACGCCCTTGCTCTTGATATCAAACCATGTGTGTTTTGTTGAGCTCATTCTGAGGGATTCTCTTAAGAAAACAGGAATCTGTAAAAATTTTACTGTGATTTTATTCCTATAAGCCATTTTCTTTACTTACACATATCATTTTAAAAATAAACTGTATTATAAAAATAAACTGTAAAGAAATAAGAACATCACATGCCAAAATTGTCCAGACCCCAAATCTGTACAACTTAATAAACTTATGTCTAGTTATACTTAGCCTTCAAAAAAAGCCAGAAAGATCAAAACAAATAAAAAGGGTGCCTATTTTGATTTTGATACTACATCATTGAAATTTGGTTTAAATGGAATTGTCTTCTATATAAGTGCCAGGGAGGTAAGTGCAGGGTAGTGAATTATACCAGTTGACTAGAAGTGGAGGGAACTAAAGAATGGCCTCATTGGCTGTAGAATAGTCAGAAAGCACACCATCTACAACCGGGGTGCAGGGGCTCCTACAAGCTCTGGTTTCCCAG